TGGAAATTGAGCAGATATATGACGCAATTGGGGTAATAAGTTGCTACCAGTATGCCCTTGAAAGAAGATAAAGGAGGGTTCTATTGCCTTGATGGGAGATGACAGACACAAAGCAAGAGGAAGAGGACGAAAATGAGGGGAATAAATTATGTGCAGGGAAGAAGATAGACATGCAGCTTTACCTTTACTTTTACTCTTCACAGGAAGCTTGACAACAGTAAAAAAAAAAATGCACTGTTCAACCACCTAACTGATGTCTGAGCTCAATAGGAGCTCCACATGCGATCCGACAATTTCCAGTGTTAGCCTTTCCACGTGGTTACGGTGGGCCCAATTGACCCCGTAAGCTTTCCACCCTGGCACCATCTTAAACCCGTACAAAACTCAATTTTTGGAGTTATTTCAGTTCCTGTCCAAACATTTTTATGTACCATTATTTGGAAAAAGCAAGAAAACGGCCTATCCAAACACACTCAACATTTTCTTGAATACTAATTCCATGAGTTTCAATCTCTATGTCATCCAGCACTTGATGATTTAAGATGATTTCATCACCATTTCCATCTTGTTTAGAATTTCCCTTAGAAGACATAACCAAGTCAGTACTTGAAAATTGTGGAAAAGAAATCATGCTAACTTTTTTCTCAATCAACTTTTGATTCAAATTAATTGTCTTAGTTTCAAGAAGTTGATTCTTGAATTCTAATTCTCGTTCATTGCCCCACGTTGAATGTTTCAACTCCCCCTTGAACTGAAATGACTGAAGAATGAAGCTTTGAACTTTCATCAAACAAGTGGTGTTCTTCAATTGCAAAACTGTAGTCACCTTCCCAATGTTCTTCCATTTCACCATGGAAGGCTCTAAACTTTTTTGTTTCTACCGTCGCCGAATGCGCATCAGTCCATTTCTTGATTGGGGTGTCGCGCCCCACTTTTGAAATGGTGTGAAAGTAGTGTATGGTATATGTATGTGAACGTGTGTGAAAGTGAAAATAAAGGCCGTGGGATTGTGAAATGCGACGGTTTGGCCAAACGAAGGGTTTTAGATAAAAACGGAGTCGCCACTTGGTATAGAGTTAAGGTGTACCAAGTCACCCAAAAAGTGGTTTTTTGGAAAGAAAAGTAAAAATCCTTTTTAAAGAATTTTTAGGTCTACGTAACCAAAAAAAAGGGATCGGGGGTCACATTTGATAAGGGAGAAGGCAAAGGCAAAGCTTAAAGCACTCCCTTACCCTAGCCAAAGCTAGTTGCGTGACTTAGCCCCACTTTTCATAATTCTTCTACCCAAAATATGCGTTGCATGTTGGATGTAACTAATGGATATAAAAAAGATTCAATCCTAAATCTAAAATGTCTCTTATGAGGCTTTTTGGTTCCAACCACATGAATTGTGATGGCCAGTAAGGAAAGCCCTCATAGAGGTCATGAATAATGCAAATGAAGACTCAAGTATGAGTGTAAGTGTGCAAATGTAAGAAAAGTGCATGTGTGCAAATGTAAGAAAAGTGCATGTGTGCCAATTGAGAAAATAAAGGTGTTTGTGTGCAAGTGGATGAAAATATAGTATAATGGTAGTAAATGCATATAAGTGCAACTTGCATGTGAATTGAAAAAAATATAAGTAGTGAGAGAATGTGGATAAAAAAGGTAAGGAAGTGATATGATAAAAATGAGAGTGTATGAACCTAGAGGAATGCATCAAGTCGGGTACGGGAATGACTCCTAACTTCACGACTTTAATTTTTCCTTTGATTAGAAGGAAGGACTAGCGTGCTAAGGCTATTTTGTAGCCACACTCGCTCGTTTCCCTTATCGAAAGGGGACTCTCAAGCAAATGTACCATATAACTAGCATGAGAATGCAAAAACCTAAAATGAAGGGGAAAGGGTTGGAGGGGCATGCCAAATGATAGAAAACTAAGAAAAATGCATGAAATGTAGTGAAACATGCAAGTATGTATTAACGAGAGGAGACGGCCTATTGGGTCTAGCATTGGACTAACCCTTATCTATGAATTCCTGCTAGCGTTGGACTAGTGGAAAACGGGACAATGAGCCACAACTAGCGTTGGACTAGTGTGGTGACGTGCATTCATCTATCACATTCATCTATGACTATGGAAAGCAAATAGACATGTCAATCACCTATAAACACGTAGCACATAACACTTAGCATACTCGACTAAATGCAAGAGCCTAATAAAGTAAATTAACACGTAGCAACAAAAGCAAGCAATCAAGCTAATGAACCTATTACATTTGCTAACTAAAACAAAAGGGGAAGGGAAAAAATGGATAAAATTGCTCTCCAAGCCCTATCTATTACAAGCCAAGAGGTGTACACATACCCCATAAAAGAATAACTTAATAAAAATAAAAGTAAATGAAATAAGTGAGAGGAATTAAAGAAAGGCAAGGAAAGCAAAGTAGACATGCAATTCTCACTTAGCACGTTGGATCACATAGGAGAGAGACAAAAAAGGGATAAAAGGAATTATATCTCCCCGTTTATGATGTTAGTAAAGTAAACACGACTTAACTTGGGCTAAAGTCACCAAAGAAAGGGATAACTTGGGCTAAAAACCATCAAAACAAAGAATTAATGCACCAATTTAGTGGTAAAATGTAAATAAGCCAATTTGAATCCACAAAATCATCGAATCCTTCTTCAATTGCAACTTAAAAATGATCAAATAATGCATAATTTCCAAGCCAAAGTGAATCATTGATCAAATTTCTAAAATAGCAAAATGACTAAAGACCCAATAGCAACCATTAATCAATCAATCAAGGCCAATTGAAACATTTTAGGAACTTTAAAGGTCCAAGGTCAAGAAAAGGTCAAGTAATTGTTCAAATTGGAATTATTCTAAGACCTATTTGCAAGAAATTAGAACCTAATTAGGTCTTTGTAGCATTGTTGCAAAATGACAGGGACCAAATTGATTAGTTTTCCCAATTTTCTGGGTCATAGTGGCATAAGGGAAAACTTGAGGGGGTTAAAAGGTAATTTTGAAAAGTATTTGCATGCATGCATACGTAGAAAAGAATTTCTGCAATTAACACTTTCTGAAACTAAAAGACCGCCGGTTGCATTTCCATTTCATAAGCAAATTCTAAGCAGCTTTGACTAAAAACCCTTTCATCTATCCAAACTTTGTATTAAGCAGCAAAACAAACAAATTCCACATCCCAACAAGCAAAACATGGAAGGAAATTATGCAAATACTTATGAAACCTTTATGCAAGATGGAAGAAGATTGCTGCAATTGAAAGCTTTGGCAACTGATGAAGCCTTTTGGCAACAAAACCAGTTGCGACTTTCATTTCCAAATGCAAATTTCAGACCTAACAACAAGAATAACAAGAATGCAGCAAAGAAACTTAGCAGCAACATATGTTCATGCCATTTCCTTAAATTAAATGCATTCATGCAAGCAAACAAAAAAGAAATGATTGATTTCTTAACTAAACAGAAAGTACTAGATCTTGTACCAAGAGAGTTTGCACCAAAACTGAATTCTGACAGATCGCTCAGAAGAGCTTCGAGAGGGGGCTGGGTACTGCAATTTTCATGAGCAGCAAATTGCACATCTAAGATGGGCAATTTAAAATCAACCAAAGAAGCAGTTTTGGAAACATTTTGCAGCATATCTATTTCAGGCCCTTTAGCAGCAATACTATGTGCACCACCAGCAGCAATCCTTTCTTTGTGAGAACCTCCACTTGTATGGCATCCAAAGTACTTTTCCAAAACATCCTTGCTTTCATCTGAGTCAATACCAGTTTTCTCAATAGTTTGGCAAACATCAATTTGTGCATAGTTCTTATCTCTGTCAGCAGACAGACTGATGCTTCTCTCCAAGAGACTGCTGGTAGTATCCTCTTTGGAGAAATGGTTTTGCACATCGGCTCCTAAAGAGTGGACATACTTCTTTGTAGGTGATGAAACTGTGCTTGGTTGCCCTTGATTAGTCTCCTTTATAGTCTCACAAACATCAGTTTCCACAGACCCTTTGGCCTGATCAGCCGTTGAACTCAATGAACTGAAGGTAGTGCTTTCTTGCAAAGATTGATCTTGAACATGAGCTCCTCCAGAGTGGGCATCACCAGGTAGAATGTTGTTTGGAACTCCACGCCCAGTAAGCAGAACAGCATTAGAGATTGAAAATAGATCAGATGCTGACTTGTTTCCAAAGAAATCAGATGAGTCTGAAGTAACCACAGAAACTCCAATTTCAGCATCACAAAAGGGTACTTCACTGTTATCTTCACTCTTCTTACTAGCAAAACTAGAAGCTTCAGGAGTAGGAGGCTGGGCACACTCTGAATCCTCTTCGTCACCATTTTCCTCAGAAGTGAATTCAGGGGCAGTAACCGTTAATATTTGAGTATACTTCGGAGGCTCTTCACTGACTGTTATACAGGTAGCAGCTTCACGAGCGTTGCTTGGAAGTATCTGAAGATTTTCCAATTGCCCCTTTTGGCTAATTATCTCAGTATCAGAAGCAACCACAGAAGTTTGTTCACATCTAGAAGGATGATCACTGGCTGAAGATAAGAATGTTGAAAGTGCTGCAGCCAAGATATCATCGATTTTCCTTCTTTCCCCAGATGAATCCTTCAACGACTTTAACACTTCATGATCTTGATTATTTTCATTGACAGATTCCAGTACATCATCATCCTGCTCATCATCACCGCAAGAAAATTCGGGGACAGTGACCACAAGACCTGGAAGGAAACGTGGGGCATTCACCGAGTTAGCAAAGCCATCAGATGGATTCGCAAAAGCAACAGAAGGTATTTCCTTTCTTTCCAACTCTGGTCCCCTACAAGGCTGGCAGTCACTCCCACCATTATGGAATGAGCTGGAATTTGATTCACATGAAAATGATGGAGCACAAATCCTAGTGCCAGTTGGAAATCCAGAATCATGAGCGTTCTTGGTAAGTGATTCTAGCTGTTGCTCAACCTGTTGAATCCTCAACTCCATGCTGTTTATGGCTTAAGCATGTTTTCTTCAAACCTCAAACAAACTTCTTCGATTCTGCTCACTCGAGACACAAGTTGCTCCAGAACTTTCTCAATACGACTGCACGGAGACTCATTTTTCACAACAGGATCAAAAGATTCATCTTCTTTTACAGTCTGATTAGGAAGCACAGATTTAACTGATTCTGCATTAGACCCACCCACATCTTGCAATTTTATGTACTGCTGATCAGCACAGAACTTTTGACCTTGGTAAAAGTAAGCCGGATTTTCATTTAGATCAATTGATTTTGGTAAGTTTTTCACTTTACTGGCCTTTCCCAATTTGTCAGAAGGCTGTTCACCTTGAGTTGGACTTGCACAAGATTTAGACATCTGAAGTAATGTTGGGACAAACATGGCCATTAAAGAACTTCCAGTTGCACAATTTACTTGAGGAGCCAGACTTTCTGAATCAGTTGAATCAACCAGCTCAGCATAAATGTACACTTCATCAATGTACACAACACCTTTATTCTGAAGTGACAGTAAACGAATGATAAGAGATGTGCAAGGGTCCGAGTCACTGATTTCTACTGTAGCCTCATAATAATCCTGAAGACAATAACAAAGAGAGGTCAGCTATGTCAACTGGAAAGCTCACATGCCAGTCCTAAAACATCACAGACATGCATCAACTTCACAACCTTAATCATGCAATGACAATTTATACAACGTTGATACAGTATTTTCCTTAACCACACAATGACATTTTATACATATTGATAAAGTAAGGATACAGTTATGGATTAATTCCAAATAATCATGGCATTAAAAAAATTAACTATACCGGTGAAAGGAAGGTTAAAGCAATATCAGAAATAATAGGACACTCGTGCCTCCTGTCAATCAGCTGTCCCAATTTTTAACCAAAACTAAATTACCAGGTCAGTATCATATAGGAAAAGGCTTTTATAATTCTTATATTTCAGCAAGTACTGTAAGACTGAAGCATTTTCACTTTTGCATTAAATCAAAGAAACCAGAGTCGTATTTTCCCTCTACTCTTATTGTCTTTGTTGGCAGAGTAAATCCATGTGAATCTTTTGGCAGTAGGACGGCCTTTCAAATATATCATTGAGTAATAAAGTACACACCTAGAACAGAAAAAGAAGCAGTTGCAGGTGAACTTTTAATACTTGTATAGCTTTTATTCGAGTAACAGTTAATTATTATGTTTCACCAGATAACAATTAACTGTTACTTTCCAGCCTCCCCTGGGAGGCTAAAACACTAGCAAAATCTACAAACAGTCAATTCAATCTGAAAAAAAACTGCAAAATGAAAATCAAGAAGAGATAAAATAATAGGTCATTTTGAACATAATTTAAAAAAAAAAAGTTATACCTGAATGTGCCTCTCTGTGTTGGAAATTGTCTCATTTGACAAAGATCCTGTTCCATTCTCAAGTGTGGGAGAGGAAACAACTTTAACCTCCACCCAATCATCGTCAGAAGGGCATTATGTTCTCCACCAGAAGATTTCTCTTCAGGTAATCCTACGGCCAGCATGTTTCACACATTCTTTAGAAAGTTCTTCAACATTGACTGCTTGCGAGTACTTGTTCATCTCTTTCAGCAATGCTACAGCGAACAGTACAGAGGTACTCATTCCCACTATTCTTAGATTGTGCACAATACACTTCATATACACGAGCAGTACTTCGAACATAAATTTGCCGAATATTGTACTTCTGCAACAAATGTACTGCACACCCAAGATTGTCAAGGATCAAAACATTTTTTAGATAAACCTAATTTATCTTTCACCTAGAAAAACACATGACATGCAACAGCTATAGAATGACAGTATGATACAATATAAATTTATGACGTGATTTTTATTAGATAATTCGCAAATCTCTTTTTATCCCTGTCCATCAATTTGGCTCATAATTCTTTGCAGTTCTTGTTTGCAACAAAAGAAACACCATCCCTGAACTTGACATACAACAAGATTAAACACACCAAGCCTAAAAATAAAAATGTCACACAACAGCACCTCCTACACAACCAAATAAACATTAAACAAAGAAGAATAAGAACCTTAACACATATTTGAAGGCCTTTAATTCTCATAGTACTCGTTACTTGATATTCTTCTCTACCCTAATCCAACAATTGATTACCAAATGAAGCCATTTACAAAAAGTTTTTAACTAAACCATAGCAACTGCTATACGATAAAATCCAACTTTGTAGTAATACACGTGGAAATGTAAAACCATAAAATGAAAGCAAGCAATGAGTACCAAAAATACTTAAAAATTAACTTCCCATTAAGAACGGATTTCCTCAAAAAGTATTACTTTCATGGAGCTAATCTGCACGCGCGCACGTGCAATAAAAGTGTGTGTTCAGCAATTTAGTATAATGCATTTTCCAGAACACTGATCAACATCCTAATAATTAAGAGAAGAACACATACCAATAATCATAGACATATCCAAAATTGCCTACCACTGATTTGTGATTACTTAATATTCTCCCAAATCAAACTTAAAACAAAAAAATCCTTCAAAAACCCTAATAATTGCAATACAAAAATGTAGAAATGAACCGGACAATCAAATTAAGACCATCCTCACCAATTCTACCAATTTTAAAAATTCACTCCAGAAAAAAAAAATTGAATCTCATAAACAAACGTAAAAGCCGAAATTCATAATTCACTCACGCTTAATTTCGCAGGGGCCAGGATCCGGTGCGGGAGGGTTTAGGATAAGCGGAGGCAACTTCCGAGGGGAATCGGACTCGGGTAGTTCCGGAGAATCGTCGGACGAATCGAAGGTGACGGAGCTTTCTAGAGACCCGGAAGCGATTGCCCATGTTGTTTCGGCGCTCCATGGCCCTTTATCGTTATTACTGCTGTCACTAATGCTACTGCTGCTGCTGCTGCTGTGAAGAACCTCAGTAGTGGTTTCCATGGCTGTGGGTGTTTGTTTGGTCTTTCTTTTCTGTGATGGAAATTTGGGCTTTTATTCTGATTTTTTTGTATGTTTATTATGCTCTAAGCTTTCAACTACTTCCTCCTTTCATTCTGTTTTTTTATTATTTTTATTATTTTTTTTTGGTCCTTTTCCTTTTGGTGGGAGTAAAAGGTATGAAGGTGCTAATTTTCATTTACCATGGAAACTGAAGTCTGGTAATTTGGGCTCATGGTGACAATTTTCCATGAAGATTTTACTCTCCTGCTTTGAGTGGAGCGGGGAATGAGAAGAATATATAGTTTCATGCCCACGTCACTTAACAAATATGAATAAATAATATGAGATAAATACAATAATTATAAATTAGTCTTAATTAGAATAAATTTAAGAGTGCGTTTGATAGTTCTATTTAATGCTAAAAATTAATTCATTTAAAACTTTTTGAATTCAGCATGTTTGATAATAAAAATGTCTTACCACTTCATATATTAAGCTACTACTTAATTTGTGTACGAAATTCTAAGGAAAAATTTTCAGTGAATTTTATAAATTCACTATGAAAAATACTTCACTTTTCACACATATAACATATTTTTCGTACAAGTTCCAACACAAAATGCACATTTATTCTCTTTTTGTAGGACGCACAAATGCGCATGCCCACGTACAAACACACACACACTTAATAAATAAACTATCACTAAATTGTTTCATTACTCTCTCTCTCTCTCTCTCTCATATACTTCTCTTTCTCTCCAAATACACAAATAAAGGTAATTATTTTTAAAGATAAAAACATATTATTTGTTCAATATTTTAATTAAATATTGTAATTTAGTTAGTTATCAAACATATATAGTTTAATCAATTCGGCAACATAATACCTTCAGTACTTAATTTTTAGATTTCAAACTTCAGTTATATCAAACTCTCCCCGGATCTCCATAATTGCAATTATATTCAGTTTTTGTATGTTATTATACATGCCACTAGCTTTGGGTAAACTTTGCGCCTTCCTTGTTTATTGACTAATACTAATAGTTTGGTAGTAAATTGTGGCCTATGAGAGGACCAGTTTGCAAGTTGTGCCATGATTTACTGCTGTTAAACTGGATATCAAGCTTTAAAGTAGTATCATCACAAGTGTAGTTTTCCCAGTTTAGAGGAGTTTCTTATTAGTAACGGTTTGTTGGGGTTAATTAAACACATCATTAAACATGTTATTCTTGGGATTAAATACATCACCATTTAAAAAGAAATATTAAAAATGGGCACCAGTAAGAGGGATGGGGCTGATTTGGGGGAGTTGTGTGAAAATAGGTGTCCATTGGCCGCTACAAACCTGCTCTACTGTCATTCTTAATTATGAGGTAATTGATTTTTTTTTCCAACGTAATTATTGATAGAGGTATAAACGAGTTAAGTCGAATTGGTATTGAGATAATCAAGCAAACACACAAATAACTGCCTCAACCTCAAATTTTGGGGCCTAACAAACAGCTAGGGTAAGTCCATTATTGCAAGTTAATATAGTGAGGTTAAGTTAATAGGTTGCCTAACCTCCCCTATCTAGCTTAAACATGCTAATTTCCATTAGAAAGAATATATATATATATATATATTAACTTCACTCTATGAGACTAGCCTATAATTATAACTTTTACCCCCCAAAAAAATTGCAGTTAATTTAAACGCCTTCATGACATTTTTATCTTGTAGATATTTGTTTGAATGTAATGCCTCTCTTCCGTATTGGTGGTATGGGTGGATACTTTTTAGGGTAAAAAATCTGAATGACGTCCAAATTATATAATTGATCGATGAACTTGTAAAACAAATACTCTTCACCCTATTGATTAAAGATAATTTCAGAAATCCCTCATGAGATTTACGGTAACGCCACTTCGCACCTTTCAAGTTTTAGAAATATCACTCAACTCCCATATCAGTGAGATGGGACCATTAATAACTATCATAGCACACGAACTGACAAAATATCTTCACTGCTTTAATAATTTTTAGGCAAAATATTATGTAAAAGAAAATTTTTAAGCAAAACATGTAAATCTCATATTATACATAATCAATTTGATAGAAAATTCAATGTAAAACAACACAAAAGGGTAGAACTAGTAAAAAATATATATCTTTCTCGTTAATTGATTATTATAAGAATATTTTAATGATACAAGGGTGAGATGTTACAAAATGTATGATTTTAGAAAACGTTAGTGATATTTTTGAAACTTTTGGGATGCCAAATAATATCAACATAAATCTTGGGGAGGTTTCTAAAATTATCTCTAACCAAAAGGGTGAGGAATATACCTTTTTACAATTTCAAGAGGCAAAAATATGTACTTAATAGTTGTAGAGTTAAAAGTCAACTAGCTCATTAATTTGAGGGTCATCCAGATATTTTACCCTGCTTTTTATAAACATATGAATGTAAAATCTGAAAATTAGTGGGCTTTGCTTAATGTGTTGATCAATTGCCAACAAATTAGAGAAGACCCAAGTGAATGTTTATTGTTATCAATGTATAATCTAAATATTTGTTTGGTTTTTTTTTTCTTTTTGCAGAAAAATGTTCAAATAGGTTCGTCTTTGATCACCACTATAGACTAGGGTTAGTGGGCTTTACTTAATGTGTTGATCAGTTGCTAGGTTGCTTACAAGGAGTTGGATAGCAAGATTTGAACTCACAGCATTTTATGAGAAAGTAATCAAGTCTTACCAATTAAGTCAACTTCCATCAAAAAATTGTCTATTCTTACTAGTTGAGCCAACTTCTATCAGAAAATGGTTCATCCTTACCAGTTGAGCCAACTTGTCTCGACTTTGCTTTGTCCGTTAATCAGTTGCCACCTACTAAGAGAGTTGCAAGAGAATGTTTATTGTCTGATCGTTGGCATAAAACTTGAGATCTCTTCCAATGTCATATTTTTGTGGCCGAGAGAAAGCACTGATTCAAGATAACTGAGAATTAGTTCATATATAATGTGAGAACTGGGTTAAATTCTCCCAAACTCGAGCAGGACCCAAAAAAAATCCCTTGTGACCCTATCGGGTCGCCCCTAATATCCTGTTTGGAACCTCAAGTTTTTAGCAATTTTGTATAATACTAGTTTTTTAATAACTTTTGCTACAGAAACCCACCCCAAAAAACTTATCAAAGTTTTTAACCTACACACTTCAAAATAATACACAAAAAACTTTCCCTTCAACTTTTCTTCTTTTTCCTCCCCCACCCACTCTACCATGTCCTCCGTCACCAGCCACCACCTCCACCACCGCTTCCGGCACCGGTCACTATTCCGCGTTGTTATTGCTGGCCTTCCTCTTTTTTTCTCTCTCCCTCTCCCTCACCCCCTCTCCTCCTCTCCCCTCCCGTTTGACCGATCTGTTGGTGTATGTCTCTTTTTTCCCTTTTTTTTTCTTTCTCCCCCCCCTCCCCTTTGCCTCCCCCGCCACCTTCCCCCTCCCGCTAGTTGCGATCTGGTCACGCACAAAGCTAAAAATCCATGGCTGGTGGCGGGGAAGGGGAGGAGAGGGGAAGAGACAAAGCTAAAAAAAAAAAAAATCCATGGCTACAACAACTCTGGCGTCGGAGGGCGAGAGGAGGGGAAGAGGGCAGAGGTGCCGGGGGAGGGAGAGGTGCCAGGGGAGAGAAAAAGAGGGGCAGAGAGGGAGAGGGAGGAAGGGCAGAGGTGCCGGGGAAAGGGAAGGGAGAGGTGCCGGGGGAGAGAAAAAGAGGGGTAGAGGGGCAACTGATGCAACGGGAGGAAGGAAGAGAGGTTCCGGGGGAGGGGAAGGGAGAAGAAGAAGAAAGAAAAGAAAAGAAAAAAGAAAGAAAGAAAGAAAAAAGTTTTTCGACCTAAAAATTTTTCTTACAACTTCTACAGTAATCTACAGTAAAATTTTAGACAAATACTCAAAAACCTCACCTTCCAAACGGAGCCATAGTTTAGAATAGGATTAGAAATAAAAGTAGGTATAAATTATGACAATAGACCAAAAAAAAAGACGGGAAACGCCTGGTAACTGTTTTCATTGTTCCAAAACACCTGACTCTTAGCATAAGGAGCATTAGGCATTCTCAACTAAACGATCCGGCATAGCTGCACTCAATCTGATTAAACCAAACTCTAGCCAAATAGTCCAATGAAACCAAGAAATTCCCAAATGCAGAATAACCTTGTTCACTCCCAAAACAAAGATGAGCAATTAATACCATTCTTATGTAACTTACAAGAACTTCCAAGAACTGTAGTTCTTAATCAAATGTCAATCTTTATTGGATATATTTCCTGTACAAACAGCAAGTATAAGCAGCTCAAAGGCTATACTGCAAGTCTGAGCGCCATTCACTACAAATACAGCACAAACTAAATGGCTAGGCTCAAACGCACGTTTGAAGGGTGGTTTGAACTCTTTCTCTAGTACAGCTGTTCAAATAAGAATCAAGGCGTATATAAGAAAAATAAAAGAAGGGAAATGGACAAATTGGAGCAGCACTTGTCCTTCAATAAAGTCTAGCTGCACAGAGACCCAGGACACATTGAAGCACCCCAAATTTGAGCAATAAATCAAAAAGTGCTCAGATTTGTCACAGCTTCGGAGGCAGGGGTTGAATTGCCACCGAAGAGTACGCCTATGTTAAATCCAAAAAAACCTACTGCTAGAGTCTAGTCTTCATATCTTCAAAGCTTTTGCTACTCAGCACTATGTAATATAAACCTCCGAAAAAATGGAACTATCATCCACTGTTAATTTTGTCACTCATTGTCGCTTATGCTTCTGAGATATAAAACGAATTCCCTGCTTGCCAAGTTCCAAGTTCTTGGCCTTCCATTGTCAAGGGCAACTGAGACAAATGATGTGCCTTCAAACACTTCAGTTACTGTTCCTCTATGCCTGGAAAAAATTTTTAAAAAAAAAAAGGTAAACAAAAAGTAATTAAAATAATTAAAAAGATGAGTCCAAAATCGTCACTTCTTTCTTTTAACAGCTATGTTGTTCAAAATTAACACTCATAAGCCAAAAGGTTAAATAGTTTAGCTTTTGA